TAAATATATATTTACCAGTCAGCAAAACTTTCATTTGCATTTGTTACTTACAAGAGTCTAAAGGGGGGAATTCCCTGGCGGTCCAGTGGTTAGGACTCCACGCTTTCACTGCTGAGGGCCCGGGTTCAATCTCTGGTCAGGGAACTGAGATCCCATAAGCCACACGGCAAAGCCAAAACAAAACAAAAAAAGTCTAAAGAGATTATAAATTTGATATCAGGCTATGATTGGTAGAATGTTGCTTTAGGCCATGTTTTTCCAATTGCAAAAAATAATATTTTTTTAATATGGAGTCGCTAATTATTTTTAGACCTCAACTGTGGTGGGACGAGTCCATTCTGAGGTAATTTAATCAAAATTACTTTAATCAAAATTAAAAGCACTCAGGGGGCTTCCCTGGTGGTGCAGTGGTTGGGAGTCCGCCTGCCGATGCAGGGGACACGGGTTCGTGCCCCGGTCCGGGAAGATCCCACGTGCAGTTGGGCCTGTGAGCCATGGCCACTGAGCCTGCGCGTCCGGAGCCTGTGCTCTGCAACGGGATAGGCCACAGCAGTGAGAGGCCCAGTACCGCAAAAAAAATAAAAACAAAAATAAATTTGGGCTTCCCTGGTGGCGCAGTGGTTGAGAGTCCGCCTGCCGATGCAGGGGACACGGGTTCGTGCCCTGGTCCGGGAAGATCCCACATGCCGCGGAGCGGCTGGGCCCGTGAGCCATGGCCGCTGAGCCTGCGCGTCCGGAGCCTGTGCTCCCCAAACGGGAGAGGCCACAACAGTGAGAGGCCCGCGTACCGCAAAAAAAAAAAAAAAATTAAAAGCACTCATAGGAAGATATGAGTAAAATATAGTATACAATGTCCATATAATATGTATTACTAATAAAAACATTTATGTAGTGCTTTTTCATATAAAATTAGAGATTATACACTATAAAATACCTTTTGCTATTTTACTGCAGTTTTAAAAATATTCTGCAGTTCTCTGCATTTAACACAGAAGTTTAATATTTAATGGCTTCATACACGTAAAAACTGAAGCCAGGTTACTTTTGTACAACAGCGGAAACTAGGATGCCCTGTGCTTTTGTTAAATTAAAAGCATTCGTAATTATTTCTCAGAAGAGTTAGTCATTAATTAAGGTTTATGAAGTGCTTAGGGAGTGTCATAAGGAAATATACCAAGTCTCACAAGCCCTGTAACATGGAAACCTAGATTTGAAGAAATTAGTAGAATTGCCAATTTAGCATGAATCTTGATAGTTTAAGTAGTCAATTCTGACCAATGCAGAAAGTAAAAGGAAAGAGAATCAAGTTCATCAATTAAATGAAAATGCAGCTGACCCAGGCCAGGTGGATACATGTACAAGCTGAGTGAAATAGAACCCTCCAGTTGTTGCCAGGAGCTATTGATGTGATAACTAAAAACATTACCACCACCACCAGTACATTTAAGCCTTATTCATTAAAAAAAATTGTCTGGGAAGGGAGCTTAATGAGAGTTTTCTTCTTTTTATATTTTCATTGAGTGGTTCAAGATGTTTTGTTTTGATCAGAGAAGTCTCTCAGAAAGTTCCCCAAATGAATATTTAATGCTACTGGAAATAGGCGTGGACAACAGGCCTTTGAAAGAAAAGAGCATTTAAATATTTTTTTCTCCTAGTTATAAAGTAATACTTTCTCACCATAGAAAATCTGTAAAATACAGAAAATTAATTGTTTTTTATAAGTGACTTTTAATCATACCACCAAGAGATGGCTACTGTTAACAGCTTTTTCCTCATCAGCTAATGCTCCATGGTGGTATGAACTGTGTCGATTTTAGTTCATCACTGTAACCCTACTACGTAGCACAGTGCCTGGAACAGTTGGCACTTAATTAATATTTCTTCAATGAGTGAACATATTAATATTTCCTTCTAGTATTTTTATGCATATGTTAGCTTGTCTGTTAATAATATGGGGTCCACACTGTACTTTTTCACTTTTCCTTATCTCCTGAGACTATTCTCATGATAGCCAATATCTTTCCATCTAAAGTATGATTTTGCATAATGCATAATGTTGCATCCAATTTCATACTTCATTTAACCATTTTCCTATGCAAATGAAATCATATAGTATGTACTATTTTTTGTCTTGTTTCTTTTGTTCACCATAATGTTTTTGAGATTCATCCATACTGTTGCATGCATCAGTAATTATTTCCTTTTTATTAGCTGAGTAGTATTCTACTGTTTGGGTAATTATTGCTGTTGGGTAAAATACCCAAGAGTAGAATTACTGAATCATAGAGTAGGTGTATATTTAACTTTACAAGAAACTTTCAAAGTAGTTGTAGCATTTTACTCTCCCAGCAGTGATGTAGGAGAGTTGCTCCCATCCCTGCCAACACTTCCGTGTTGAGAGTCATTTTCTAAAATTAATTAATTAATTATTTTTGGCTGCGTTGGGTCTTCGTTGCTGCGCACGGGCTTTCTCTAGTTGCGGTGAGCGGGGGCTACTCTTCATTGCGGTGCGCGGTTTTCTCATTGCGGTGGCTTCTCTTGTTGCGGAGCACAGGCTCCAGGTGGGTGGGCTTCAGTAGTTGTGGCATGTGGGCTCAGTAGGTGTGGCTCACAGGCTCTAGAGCACAGGCTCGGTAGTTGTGGCGCACGGGCTTAGTTGCTCCACGGCATGTGGGATCTTCCTGGACCAGGGCTCCAACGCGTGTCCCCTGCATTCTTAACCACTGCGCCATCAGGGAAGCCCGAGAGTCTTTAATTTTAGCTCTTCTACTAGGCTAGTAAAGTGGTATCTCAGTATGGTTTATTTTGCATTTCCCTGGTGACTAACAATGTTGAGAATCTTTTCATTGGCCATACATATATCTTCTTTGATTGATACTGCCAAATCCCTTTCCAGAGAGATTGTGCTAAGTTTTAATTCTACCAAGAGTGTCACCTTTTTAAAACGTTTTCCATTTTGCTATGTGAAAAATACCATCTTGTTTTAATTCTCATATTTTATTACTTATGAAGTTTGGTGTTAAGGAGTGGCTCCAATTTGAGACCCAGGGACTTCCCTGGCGGTGCAGTGGTTAAGGCTCTGTGCTTCCACTGCAGGGGGCATAGGTTCGATCCCTGGCTGGGGAACTAAGATCCTGCATGCTGCCCAGTGTGGCCAAAAAAACAAAGATATATCTGAGATCCAGATAGTTGGTTACTTCTTCCACAACTATTATTGGATAATCCATCTCTTCACATTGGTTTGCAATGTTTTCCTAAACTCTTTGTTTTTAGCCATCCTGTTTGTTCTTCCAGATGACTTTTAGCCTCTACTACGCTGCAGGGACCAATTTATTTTTGACCATTAGAAATTTGCTCTGTTTGATAGACGTGTGGAGCTCTGATTACTTCCTAAGTGAAGAACTTCCTCAGGATATCTGAACAATTCTCTTGGGTGGAAGCCTGAAGTCAAGACCCAAGAAAACAGAACTAAAATCTATTCAGCTCCCTCAGGTGCTCCTGCCTTGCTGGGATTGCTATGAATGGCCTTAGGTCAGAACTGCAAGGCATAATTCAGGGTCTGACTCCAATGTGTATCCCCAGATCTCCTCCCGATACATAAATCTATATTAAAGGAGATTTGGTTTAACTCCTATAATCTTTTACCTGGAAGCTGTACAAAAGAACTTTCTGCTATGATGGAAGTGTCCTATTCTACCACATCCAATTAGTTGGCCACTAGCCACAGGCAGCTATCGAGCACTTACGTGGCTAGTGCACTTAAATAAATGAATATTTAAATTTTATTTAATTTAAATGTACAGAACCACCTGTGACTACTCATTGGCCACCACAGTAACTGTTAAGACCGGTTTGCCTGTAATTTGCATATACTTCCTTGGATCTCAGTTTCAATATTCCACTATCACGGCTAAAATCAAAATACTTTTGACTTTACCAGGCACTGTACTCGATGAGTGAAGACAGTTTCTATTCTAGGCTTACAATTTAAGGAGAGAAAAGGTCAGTTTTTAACCTGGAGAGGAGCCAGACTGCTGACTCTACGGAGACTTGCCCATCGTGTTCCACAGTAAGGATGACCGAGGGAGGCAGGTACTGTGTCACTGCGTCAAAGGGGAAGAAGGGATCGCTCCTAGCTGTGTAGGTGACACGCAGAACTTATGAAAAGGTCAGTTCCTTGCACAGAGGAGGTCTGGCCCAGGGGCTCCACGGAGCCGGCTGCCGTCCCCTTTCTGACAAGTGCAAAGGCAGAGAGGAGGCCACGGCACCTAGCGGAGGGTCTTATCCACCCACTCGGAAACCGCCCCTCCCCGCGCACTACTGGATTACAACTAGGATGGACGCGATCGTCCTTCTTACTATACTAACCGCCCTCGACAAATGTGACAAACCAGAGGTTTAAATGGGTTTGCTGACTGGGGGTAGGGTAAACTGTGGGAAGGAGCCTGATCAAGTTGATAACGTCTCCTAGACAGAATGGGGGGGGAGACCCCGAGGAAAGGGAGGGAGGTCACACGTGGGGAAGGTCTGGGAAGACAAGGGCTCCCTGCAAGGTGGCCCCAAGCGGACAGGAGGTGCACTGCTCCGCCGAGAGGCTGCTGGGTCGCTCGGGCCGGGTCACAAGATGGCCGCTGCTCCACTGGGGCTTTTGGTGCAGGACCGAAGGGCCGCTGTTAGGTGCTCCAGGCCCGGGCGGCGCAGGCAGCCGAGAAGGAGTCAGCTGCAGGAGGGGCAGGCAGAGAAGGAAACACTACTGTCGGAAGCTAAAGCGGAAGGAAGCGCGCGTGCGCGGAGGGCGGCCGCGCGGGCCGAGAGCCTCAGCACGAAGGGTAAAGCCGGGGTCGCCGACTGCCTGGGAGTGGGAGGTCAGGCGGCCGAGCCGGCTGAGGCAGCGGGGCCGCGCGCTGGGCCTCGGCGCGGCGGCGGCGACGGCGGCGCGCGGGCCGCCGGGAAGTTAGGAGGGAGTCGAGCGGGAACGCGCGCGCGCGCACGCGGGGGCGGGCCGCGCGCAGCCGCGGCCGCTGGGGTTGCTTCCCTCAACTGCGGTCGCGGGCGCTCGCGACTCCGCGCCTCAGGAGGGAGCGGCCGGTGGGCCCGCATCCTGTCCGTGGGGTTCGAGGCTGGGCTGCCGCGGCCGCCTCCTTCTGGTGCCTGGGCCGCCCTGAGGAGCCGGGCCGGGGCACGGCTGACTGACCGGCCCTGGGGAGCCGAGACCGCCGGAGGCGAAGGCGGAGGCGCACGTCTGGCGGTCTCCTGGACCGGGAGGAGGCCGAGGGGACCATGTCCGGGAGGAACCTCCACCTCTCCACCACCGAACGCGTCATCAAAGGTGCCAAGCGGGGCCGGGCCTTCCAGTAGACCAGCGGGAAACGGCCCTCGGCCGGGCGAAAGCTCGGGGCCGGAGGGAGGGAGCCGAGGACAGGAGGCAGGAGGGCGGCGGGGTCCCTGGCGGCGCCCATCCCGGAGGAGGACCTGGAGAGGGTGTGGGAGATGGGGGGGCCGGGATCCCCACCGGGGCTCCCCCGCGGGGGCGCCGGGCGTTTTCTGTTGCACCTGGATCAGTAGCTAGCTGGAGATTGCTTATTTATCTCCCGTAGTGTCGAATTTCCAGGCAGGGTGGCGATTTCTTCTCCCACCACCCCCAAAGAGTCTGGATCCACATATTTTTAAAAAGACGATTCCTCTTTTTTAGGCTCTTACCTGGGGGAAGCCATCTAGGGTGATGTGGGTAGGGAGTTGAGTAGACCCTTCCAAGTCAGATCTTTCTGCCGCTTCTCTTCTGTAGGATCAGATCTTTCTTGCCTCTTCCCCACCCTTTTTTTAAGGATGGATACCACGTACCTTTTAGCCCACTTTCTTCAGATCATCACAAGTCACTGCTGTTAGTAAAAGAAACAATATAGTGAAATAAATGCAAATAAATTCATATTGTGATATTTGAAAGGGATCTACAGATCTCTTGACATGATTTTTGGTGTTTTATTTTCCTTTTGGCTGTAGAGACTTGGAGAATGATGTTCCCTGTTTCAGATGTCCAAAATAAACTAAAGTGTTCCTTACTAATACATACAGGGTTTTACATTGTAGTTGTTTCTGCCCTTAAACTAAGAATAGTGGTTTAAACATAACCACTAATTTATGTGCCTCTTTTGTTCAGACATAAGACAAGTACAACTCTTCTGAGTTTTAATACTCGGTTTGAAAGCACTATTTTGTAAGAAGGGAATATACCGAGACCAGGTGTGTTAGTGACCTCTGAATAAAGGGGTTAGTTGTAAGTGGGGAAAACTATTAAAATACTTTTATTTTTTCATTCTGGTAATTAGAAGGAGAAAGGAAACGAGGATTGGTGACAAGAAAACTTTTTTTTTAAGTGGAGAAAAATTATTGAATGTTCAATGAAGGGAGAGAATATTAGTGTATAACTTAGGTGTTTTTTTCCCCCCTAAAAAATTAAGCATCATAAATGTTGATTGTCTGCAATATGTAATTTTAGTGTGTAATGTAGTTTTCCCCCCCAAAAAGTCATCATCATAAGTGTTGATCATAGATGTTAATTATCTACACTATATAATATTTACTAAATGTAATGAGGTTTTTGAGATTTATCTACTCAGCATTTGTGTGGTATCATTAGGGATTTAAGAGAATTGTTCATAGAACTGACAGCCCTTTAACTGCTAAATTCTTTTGACCATTTTAATGTCAGTCTTTATAGTATATAACCCATGAAGAGTATATAACCCTCTCAAGACTCAGAATCTACTAAACATAATCTTTTTTGATAAATCAAGGTCATCATTGTGTACATTAATTTCTGTCCTATGCAGTTAATATGGCCGGTGCATTCTGCTGTATAAGGGTGTTGGCAGTTTCCTCCTGTGCTAAAATGACTCCTCACTGCTATACCAGTTTAGTGCTTTTGTCTGTTCTTAGTTTATCTGCTGCAGTACTGCTCTCTATCTGTCAAAATATGCCCTTCTAATCTGCCACTTCTAAGCTGAAGTAGGCAAGGAAGCCAGATAAACCAGAATAGTGTGTCAAGTCAGAATAAATAGGATCTGAGTGAAATTTAGTGGTAGTCCTCAGACCTTTATGAATCTCAAATTCTGATCGCCATTGTAGTATGTAATTTCTACCGTAACGTGCTGTAAGATATCAAGGAAATTTTTAAATGACCCTTTCAGACCCTTAAATATAGAAGTAAAGTAAAACAAAATGTAGCTAAAATGCAGGTGCTGGCTTATTGCTAGGCATGCCCACAGTTAAGTGAATACTCTCATAGTCTATATGATTCAAATTTGTTTTTTGGTGAAATTTTATAAATTACTGCATGTTATTATAAGATTACCCTTAAAAAAATAAAACATAAATGATTTCAAGCCCTTAGAATGGGTGGATTTGTCTCATATATAAAAACTTTAATATAAGAACTTGAACACAGCAATTTTGGCTTCCTGGTGACTTACGTTGCTTTTTTTTCTGGGTTTTCCTGAGTTTGAAATATTGAGGTTTATTCTAAGAAAGTAAGGTGTCACTAGATATATAGCTAAGGTCCGGTTGTACTGTACTGGGTTCTAAATCCTGATCTAATATTATCTTTTCTGGCCAGAGTTGTTTGCATTTATTCACAGCTGGAAATATTTTTCAGAGGTGAGACCACACCCCAGTTATTCTTCGTTTTGTCATTTCCTGTTAACTTTAAATTCTACTTAATTGTTTTGCTTGAGCAAATCTTGGAGAAGAGTGGGTGGGTGGGAGTGATTTGTATTTTGTGCCTTTTAAATAGCAACCTTCCTAAAATGAAGGACTAGATTGGAGGTTTTACTCCTACTTCTCAGGCTTACTTGTGACCTTGCCTTTTTTTTTTAACCTTGCCTTTTTACTTAAACTCTCTCTTTTTTTGCTTCAATAATCTCATCTGCAAGATAGGGTTAATAATACCTTCTTTGACAAGCATCTCAGCCATGCAAATGACATAACGGATGTGAAAAGCTTAAGACAAGGTAGTATTACGAAACATGATAGTAGTGTGAGAATAGATCAGCTACTTCATAAGTGGATAATAGAGAAACCATTAACATTCAAAAAATATCAGAATCGGAAAGCATATGAAATTATAAGTTAGGAAACTGTTCCCAGTCAGGAAAATACCTCTTCTACAATATAAAGGATATCTGGGTGGAATCACATGGATAACAGCGTACAAACCAATAATACAGCCTGTCAGGTACTTCCCTGGCAGCTGGTTTCTTCTCTAGCAGTTGAAGGTATTTATTTTGTGTTTAAAAATATAAACATTCTTATGATTTCACTCATTCATTAAATGTTTATGGAGAGCCATCTGTAATGTACTCCCAATTGGTGCTCATTTGCTTCTTCTTTGTTTTAAAAATTAAGATTTGTATGAGCCTCCAGAACAGTCCATATACACTGGGGGCAACACTGCTTGTATCTGGAGCAGAAAACGAGAAACCCAAATAATTGCATTTTGAAAATCTTTCAGCTTGATTTTTTTTTTCTGGTTTCCAAGTTTCTTTTCCTGTTTGAAGGAATTTTTTTTCTTTGACAGTGATTTTTATAAAAAGTTTATTCCTGTAAGCTGAATCTTTTCAGAAGCAACAAGGAAATTTCACTAGGCATTACATAACAAATATAGAGAATCCATTGTCTGAGTTTGCTCTTTGGTGGCCGAATGGGTTTTAACAGAAGTCAGACTTCTTTCTTTTTTTTTTTTCAATCATTGAATTGCGCACTTTATTTATTTATTTATTTATACTATTTAAAAATCTTTATTCAAATCAGATCTTTGCTTATTATTTACATTATCTTTCATTTAGGGTTAAAATATAATATCCATCTGTAGTTTAAATCATACTTTTAGCCCTTTACAAAATATGAAGTTAAAGTTGTTATAGTTTAAAACTGAATAGAATTGGGGACATTAGAGTTTTAAATGAAAATGAAAAATTATGATACATTAGAACATACATGTACACATACTACTAGACAAAGAGTGGTAGAACAAGATAAAATATAGTAATTTTCTATTTCTTCTTGTGGCTATTTTCTATGTATTATAAATCACATACTTTTAATAAGTATTTAAATAAAACTTTCAATTAATAAATCAAATGCCAAATGAAGGATTACAAGAAAAAAATTTTCCTGAACTTTTCACTTACTTAAACTACATGTTTTCCTAGGTTAGAAATTATCCATATTTAGAATATCTTAAAGTATAGATACATTTCATCCCCACATGTTAAACACTGTACAACTGGAAGTTCTCAAAAAAGAGGTAAAGAAAAGGAAAGAAATGGTACTGTCAATTTAGCTTCCCAAGAGTTAGATGGATGCCCACAGTCTGTGCTTAGTTGTCTATATATGAAACAACAATGTTCACACCCCTCTTACTCTTTGTTTATATCCTTGACTTTGTTATGATTTATATTACTTTTCTGTTTTCTTTCAAGAATGGAAACATCTGACTACGATCTATCCTCTTTATTAAAATATAAATATTTTCTAGAATATGGACAGATAAGTTTTAATGACAAACAGCAAAATACAGCAACCAATATTCAATAGGTATTCTGCCACTTAGTGGAGTTTTTCAAGAAAGCAGTTCAGTACACCTTCTCAACTTACAAATGTATGTGCACTTTATTTTTATTTATTTTAAAAATAAATTTATTTTATTTATTTATTTTTGGCTGTGTTGGGTCTTTGTTGCTGTGCGTGGGCTTTGTCTAGTTGTGGTGAGCGGGGGCTACTCTTTGTTGCGGTACGCTGGCATCTCATTGCGGTGGCTTCTCTTGTTGCAGAGCACGGGCTCTAGGCACGCGGGCTCAGCAGTTGTGGCTCGTGGGCCCTAGAGCGCAGGCTTGGTAGTTGTGGCGCACGAGCTTAGTTGCTCTGTGTCATGTGGGAACTTCTCGGACCAGGGCTCGAACCCATGTTCCCTGCATTGGCAGGGGGATTCTTAACCACTGCACCACTAGGGAAGCTCCAGACTTCTTTTCAGGAGGATGCTGATAGAGTTCTCCCATTCTCTTGGAATTCAGATGTAGAATGTACTGCCATTTGTAGCACACATTGAAGGCTGCTGGTTCTTTGATATCCTGGCACTGGGAATAGTGTGGCTATAGCTTTCTTAAAAAATTTTAGGAAGAGTAGTATGGACAGAAATGGCTATTTCCACAAGTATATCCTGAACCCCATTTCAGCCTCTGGTACCTATACCTCATTTATTTCCCCTCTGTCCCCTCTCTCCGTTTTTCATATTATGAGAATGGATTTACCAAGGATTAAAAAAATTTTTTTTTC